ATTACAAGCCATGCTGAGAAGTTTGGCAACGTTGTCTGAAAGTCAATCGGTGGGCCGATTTAGTTTTAATGGCGTCTTGTTGCTCTTGAAAAATGGCATTTTCCTCTCTCCTGTGTTTCGCCTTGGCGGTTTTAATATAGAAGAAAGATACTTAGGCAGCTTACAATTGTGCATATACAGGGTGTTTTTTTGGGAGCTTTAGTTAAAAGTTTCTGGGAAAGTAAAATAGGTAGGTTTTTGAAAATTTGTACTTAAGAGTTACTCTGAAGGCCGAATCGATGTAAAATATTTTCAAAATGGCCGCACTTCCGGAAACACCGGAAGTAGATAGTAACTTCGTTATTTTAAATAGCAACCCTAATTTTTTATTGGGTTTTTGGATTCTACGTGAAATTTCAGTTCTTTGGATACCCATATGTCGATATCTGCCATTTATGGTTTTTAAGTTATTTTGACTTTAAGAAAAAAAATGGCGGATGCAGATGGTACTTTGATAATTGATTACTTGAAAACGGTTGTAGTCATGACAACCTATTTTTATCAGTGCATTTAGAATGAATACAGCTTTCTTTTAGTGTACTTAAAAAAAAGTTAAGCTGCGTAAGACCGCCCCTATGGAGATCCAAATTTATGAAACTTCAAAGACTAAAAACTCAGTTTTTTTAAATGGAATCACCATTTTCTTAATATTGCATGAGATAAAGAATCGAAATGGGTATATTTTGACAATACATGTTCCTATAGCTATCTTTAACAGTTTCTGACTTATTCCCATTTTATTGAATTGACACTATTTTTTTCGAATTTTCTTTTTAGTAGTCGGCTATGATTTTATAACAATTGAATTTTAAACAATTCTAGTGACACTAATCCGTCACCTATTGTTATAGGTTAACATAAGTTTTTCAAAAATCGAAAAATGACTCGCAGTGGTTTCACCTATTTTTGAATTTAATTGTTATTTATGGTGAAATGGACAGAATCGCGGCACGTGCTTGCCGTACATTCATTCGAACACTGGAACGAAATTGTATGAATTTTGGAAATTTGGTACCCCCAAATGCACTACAAACCGTTGAAGCACAAGTGATACAAAGCTCTACAAGAGAATATTTAAGAAAATGAATTGAATTGCAAATGCAAGATTAACAAAATAAATTCAATGTAAAATATAAAAAACTTCGTTGAAACATTTTTTGTATGGAATTGTTGCTAGAACAGATATCGCATTATCTCTCTGAATTTTTAGACTTATACGTTGTTTAAGAAATTCAGTTGAACGACTGTCTAGATTTCTCAAAAATTATCCGTCCTATATCCTTAATAAATGACTTATTTATTAATGAATTATTTAGACTAGAATCAATGATATTAAGGAATCCTTTTCTTGCTTTGTTTAAAATTCGATTGTTATAAAATCACGGCCAACTACTAAAATGAAAATGCAAAAAAATGGCATCAATTCAATGAAATGGGAATAAATCAGAAAATGTTAAAGATAGCTATAGGAACATGTAATATCAAAATATTCCAATTTCGATTCTCTATCTCATGCAATAGGAAGAACATGGTCATTCCATTTAAAAAAACTGAGTTTTTGGACTTTGAAGTTTCTTAAATTTGGATCTCCATAGGTGCGGTTATACGCAACTGAATTTTTTTTAAGTACACTAAAAGAAAGCCCCATTCATTCTCTATGCAATGATAAAAATGGGTTGCCATGACTATAACCGTTTTCAAGTAATCAATTATCAAGGTACCATCTGCATCCGCCATTTTTTTCATAAAGTCAAAATAACTTAAAAAC